CATTATATCAAAAATACCCTTAATTTGCTATTTCTACTTCAAGACCTACCCTGGTCACATGTGACCAATGTGACCGAAATATAGTATGGTCACATTTTGATTTTTATCGATTATAACGTTAAATTTATGGTGATCACACTAATTCATTATGTTCATACCTTATATATTTTACTAATCATTTGATTAAAACATCATAAATTTAACGTTATGAACAATGGATCAATATGTGACCACACTATATTTCGGTCACATTGGTCACATGGTCACAAGGGTAGAGCTTGAAGTAGATATAGCAAATTAAGGGTATTTTTGATAATGCCCCTCTTTAATCCTTTAAAAAGAAGGCGGTGATCAAGATCGAGAACTATATATACACATCTCGTTGATCTTTAACTATAAGTATACAGATTTAAACCCTAACTATAGTTATTTACGATATTATCCGCATAGTAACAAGAGCTACATACATACATACATACATACATACATACATACATACATACATACATACATACATACATACATACATGCATACATACATACATACATACATGCATGCATGCATACATACAAACCGTGCGTGGACATAGATTAAACGTGAAACCATTTCTTAATTAGGTACGTGCGGTGGGAGACTGCAGCGATCTGGCGGATTTGAGTGTGGATTACTTGGAGAGGATAACGGAGGAGCTGAAGGGGGCGGGGGTGATGACGGAAGCCCTCGTGGAGAGGGTGACGAGCCTTTTGAGCGGGGTGGTCACCAACCAGCAGACGTGTCTCGACGGCCTGGTCGAGGCCCAGAGCCGGTTCGATCAGGCCATCGGCGCTCCGCTGTCTGATCTCACGCGCCTCTACAGCGTCTCGCTGGGGCTTGTGACTCACGCGCTCGACAAGAACCTCAAGAGGTACAAAGGCTCTCAGAAGAAGATCTTCGGCGGTGGTCATAATCTTGTTCGTGAGCCTCTCGAGACTTTGATCAAGGTAACAAAAGAAAAACATTTTTCCCTCTTTTTTCTTTTTCCCTTCGTTAATTAAAGTTTCTGAATTCATGAGATTTCTTTTCATAAACGAAATTATAAAAAATTCAATTGTAATCATTCGTGCAATTGTTACTGAAATCATCACTGGGTAACATTTTCTAACGAACACAAGAATTTAATTAATTAATTATAGATATCATAGGTTATATATTAATGTACATTTTTAAATAATCGAACTCACACTAAATCGAAACCGCAATGAGCATCCCGAGGCTGCTTGAAACAGTGAGAGTAAATGCCACGTGACCCTAACCGCTTAAGACCTAGCAAGTCAACTCTGTACGGTTCGCCATGGACCATATTATATACACAATACACTTCGTTTTTATGAAAAACCCTTTTTAAACTTATGAATGTTTCGGAATCAACGATAGTGGGCCCCACGACCCATCCAGCTGTCCCCACATGAATCCTTCACCGCCAATCAGTTTTATCACATGGATTGTCCACATTCACATTTATAGCTTCTTTTAGATCTCTTCATGTGAACACGTTCGATTTTTTTTTTTTTTTGGATGAATTGCTTCTATATGCATAGGTTATCATTATAGTTCAATGATTTTATTTATACCATCCTACATAGAAGTGATATATATATATATATATATATATATATATATATATA